TTTTTTTTTTTTTTTTTTTGGAATCAGGGAGAACTGCTTCGAGTGCTTTCGCCGAGAATTATGGTCGCTAATCCGGGAATGTCGGCCATTCCAGTAATGCACTTGATCCACACAACGGCGGCGTTTTTACGAACCTCACCGCGAACTGTGCAACTATTTACTTCTTACGTTTCACTGTAAGAAACATTTTATTCTATTTAAATAGTATCTCAATAGAGGAATTTGTACGAAAGCGTTTCTAATTACTTCTTCAAATTCGAAATCTTCTTGGTCTCTTCCGCCATCTTAATTTTGCTTTGAACATCTTCTCTATTGTATCAGACTATTGTTTCGATTAATATCTCCGCAACTGCGGTGAACAATGGTTACCTTAAAAAGTTCGAAAATATTTTTATTATAGGCACAAATGTTAATAAATGTACGTATCTATTTAGGTGGTGCATTACCTAATTTATTACGGCACGATCATGCGTGCAAATTTATCGGAGTTAATAAAGTCTCCCCGATAAGGCTCCACGGGGAAGTTGACACGTTTAATTATGCTGAACGCTTAAATTAGTGGTCCGATTATAGCTTATAGGGATCGTAGTTTAACTTCTTTAGAGTCTTTCAGTTACAAGAAAATAAGATACGAAACGTCGTTGGTGCGTCGGCTCACCGTGACTGTACACTGTGGTAACACTTGCTTCTCTAAATATAGCAATTTATCTTACCCTATGGGGATCGGTTCAAGATCCTTGGCGATTTTCAACCAAAAATTAGTGGATTGGGCGTCGATAACGTGACCCTGTTTATTTATTCTGAAATCAGAATCAGGCCGTGAACGTAATATCTTCGCGCGTACTCGAGTTAAAATAGATCTGTAGTAAACAAGGGTACGGCTCTGGATTAATCTTCAATTGATAAGCGAATCGCGAGCGTTCACAATGATCACGTGGATGCAGAATTTTCGTCGAGCCCTTGCATAAACTTGACCAATCGGACGGTTCACGTTCAACATCACACCTCGAATTCAGTTAATCATGTTGAGCAGCATCGCGTAATGTCAAAACTTTCAGAGCAGATAACGAAGTAGGACTTGTACAGTTTGTACTTGATTTCCTTATCGACCCGTCTTCTGGACCCTCTGAAATGATAAAACCGATCGGAATGACGGGTAGTCGATTGTAAAAGCATCGCGAGAAAGAATATTCGAGATAAATGCTCGATGACGAACCAAGAAGTGGTAGAGAGGCACAGTCGGGCCCCCTGAATACATATTATCGCTCAGCTCTCGTTAGGTAATCGTCAACGTCTGTTTTCGGCTGGATCTAGAGCAGATTTTCCTCTGCAAAACACGTATACTTGCTGTAAACATGATAACGTGACAGGTTGATGATACAAGGTTGTTGAACAGGGGGATTCCTTACATTGCCAATGAGAAAAGTCATCATTATAAATCAAGGTAGTAACCTTTCTTTCCTTACACCATGTGGTTAGAAATAAATATCATTGTGTGTACTTTTCAATCATCTAATTTTAGTATTTATCGGATTAAATTTTATTACACCTTAAGTACTTTCATTTCTTTGTATAAAGTATCCCTAAGAAAAAGACAGTGAAGAAGGAATAAGAAGAGAAGGATGACAAAAATATATAAAGGAAAGAACAGTTTAAAAAAAAGAGATCAAATTCCATACGCAATTCCGGTGTTAGTAAGAAGAAGATATTGACAAAGATGTCGTAAGGACTAGATTAACGATTGCCCCACGCAAGAGATATATGCCACAAGATGAGTTAATCTCTCATCTCGATCTTTTGTCTTCTGATTTCCCTTGTTATTCTTGAGTTTTCTTTGTATCCTCGGAATTCGTATTATTTTTGACCTAGTACAATATATTTTTGATGTTATATCCAATTCTTGAAAAGTTCAAATCAATGACTATCTTTTCAAGATCTTTCTCAAAGAATTCTGGAAAAGCATACTGTAGGCTATTGCATCCTTTCCATGGAATGATAAGACTAGTTGCCCTAGTAAGTTCACTTGAAACTTGATACTTCAATCTGAAATATTGTTACGTTATAAGTTTATAAAATATGTTTTGAAGTTGATGGTATTACAATAAGAGACACGTGCCTGTTCATAGTGGGAGTAGCTACTTCAATGGGATCCCCCTATTAGCTGGATCATTGAACACGTGCCCTGACGCCCTCTAATGCTTGTCCTAGCTTGCTATAATCGCCGTGATACTTGATATTAGAAGAGTATGACTTTCACCTTACTAATGATCATGTTACTGCTACGTTACAATTAACTCATTAATTAGCAAAGAATTTTATTCAGAATGAAGGAAGATATCTGTATATGTAATTTTTCCCTTGTATAATTCGAATACACATGATACTTTCTTTCTACATATTAAAAGAGTAAATGTTTACTTACACATTAAAGAGTAAGTTTAAGAGGTGTAGCAAAAGTTTTCTTTTTTGGTATTAGAGTATAGGTCAACTTGGTCAAAGAGTAAGGAGAAAGACGTGGCGTGGACGAGAACAAAGACGTGCGATTCGCAGCGTGATGTCACGGCGTATTGTATTTCGCTTATCGGCGCCGATTCCTCACGGAACCCGCAGCATTTCAGGAATGCGAATGCCACGATTTTCAGTGCGACAACGACCTTTGTCTCGAGGATCTCGAGCATTTGCTTCAGTCTAATCGATCCGTATCATCTATCTTTTCTTCTTTTTTTCTATCTCTCGTTCTCTTCTTTATAGAATCAGTACTCTGTTTTGCCCAGATGAATGATTTGGTCAATTTATTTAGTACTGATTTTAGTGACTTTAGTGACAATGACTGAGACATACAAATATGTATTCGTAGGTACCTATGATCAGTATAAACGTGACTGATTCATGACCTCTATATAATGAATTACCGATTTTCCAAGAACTCATGAACTCGTTTCCTAAATCTGCAGACGTCGTTAAATCATCGTTACAAACATACTTCGACGAAGGCCAGCAATTTTCGCAAGTTCAGTTACGTCACGGGTTTTCACAACAGCTGCATTTTTCTGCATATACCCCATTGCGAAACATGTTCTGCTTCGTACAGCGAACTACTTACATGATATATCACTGCCAGTCACATATCATTTTTTAGCATAGGTTAGGGAAATTGTTCTTCAATTTCTTTTCTATGCCCAGTGTTTTCTACTCGATTGTTTTCTACGATTGTCTGTCGTAGACGACTATGAAACAAGGGATCCCGTGACGAGAGCAGATGTGGTCTCCTCGTAGGTGTCGCGTAGCAGGGGATCTCCAGTTGCAGTCAGGTGTGTTGGCAAACGTTATCGCAATCTCGTTGCTCGTTTGTGCACCTTGGAAGTGCATACATAGAAGTCCACGAGCCTGTGTAAATATGTTAGATAGACTCTCCATAGGTCGATATCGCTTGTCGAACTTGGGGCACGTGATCTGTAAAAGATGATGTTTAATCTGGAGTCCTCAAGATGATAACAGATATAAGTATGCATAAGTATGTTCCTCAGTGATCCATCTCAGTGCTTTTTTACTTATCAAGAATCAGGCAGTCGAATAATGTGTAAAAGTTGTGTGAATATTATTAAAAATTAAGTTTCCTCAAATTCTAAAAAACGTAAAAGAATACATACATACTACTATTACTCACGTGCAAAAAGAATTTTTATAATTTGAACATATAGTTCATTTGGGTTTCTTCAAATTTTTATAAATGTAATTATGAAATTCCTATTTATTATTGCAACGTGAATTCAGTAATTTGAATTGACTAGGAAAGAACATTGCATTAACACAACTTTAGCCATCGATGAGTTAATTACCTTCTTCCAGTTTCTTTTTCTTCGAATGCACGTTCAATTAATGAAATGGCTAAAATATCTGATCACGCGAATGATACAGTAGAAAATGTATTACCAAGTACCTGCTATGAAAACATCATTGTGTCCTGGACGAAGAAGCTTGCTCTGCGCTGAAAATCATATACCCCGGAGCTCTACGTTAGTGGGATATCATGTTTGCCTGGATTCGCGTAGCCTGGGAATAGATGTTCCGTTCCTAGTGGCTCTGATTGATAACAATGTAATCGATCATTGACTGCAGGCTACAACGGGCCAGAGTAAATTAAACAAACTACTTTTTAACTTAATTTCGTATATTCAATTCTTCGCTCTTTCTCTCCTTGAAACCGATCCCACTGAATTTGCGAAAATTCAATTCCGGACGCTGTTTTTCCTTTTGTTCCAAGCTTCTCGTTTTTCCCTCTCTGTTGTGCAAGTGCGGCGTGCTTAACTTATCGGTGTCCAGTTACAGTTCCAGTTACATGTGCCGCGGGGCACCGGTGAATATTCGACGCCATGCACGTACGCACTCCTTTTCTGACTCATGTCTCCGTGTTTTCCACTTATTTCCTTCCATCGCTCTAAGGCTTTTGATACCCAATCATATTCATTTACCACTTTTAGAAAAGAAAAAAAAAAAAAGGAACTGAATTATAAATAAACTATTGAATTATACGATGATATGATTTATATAATGATAAATGTAACGCGGTGTACGCGGTATCAAGGTTCCTGCCAATAGTTAACAGTGGACATAAATTTGTACCTATGGTGGAAAAACAATGACGCAGTTTCACTCAAGGGCACCCAGTACACTTTAGATGATCATTTCTCTAAACAACGTTTATCGTTGAGGCTCGTGTGTCGCCCAGCGAATTCCTTTTCAAAGGTCCAATTGTTTTACCCTGGCTGAGATTTCTTGGAAGTCGCGCCAGCGTGTAGATCGATCGACGCCAGTCCCATTGTCCAATTTCTTGGAGACAGGCCGTGTCTCGAATTGAAATCCATCTAACCTTTCCTTCTCCAATGAACTCTCGACTTGACTATTCAGAAAATTACGTGAAATATTATCCATCTCCTCATCTCCTCTTCTTCGTCCTCTTCAGGTATGATATTATAAACGATATTTTTTTTTAACACTTACAGTGAGCAGCTTCGTGTCAGAGATGCAGAATGGCTGCGTCGGTGTGTCAAAGGAGCTGGACTCGTCGATGAGTCTTGCAAGAGGGCTGACATCACATCACGCCTCCCTCGCTCATCATCATTCTCACCATAATCTACACAGTCCGAGTTCTGCGGTGTCTATGCATTCTACTGGTTCCGCTCATCACCACCTCGATGAAAAAGGATCATCCCCGACCGGAGCTCTTCACAGTACCACCAACAGCAATCCCTCGACACCGTCGACACCCTCAACGCCAACCACAGTAGCAGATGGTTCCTCCGCGGCTACTGGAACCGGAAATGGGAATGGTAGCAATGATTCCGCCAGCAAGAAGCCTCCGTACAGTTACGTCGCCTTGATTGCTATGGCGATTCAACACAGCGCTCAGAAGAGGGCAACCTTAAGCGAGATTTATGCTTACATCACCACCAGGTTTCCATATTTCCAGAAGAACAAGAAGGGTTGGCAGAATTCTATCAGGCATAATCTGTCCTTGAACGAGTGTTTCGTGAAGGTGCCTCGTGACGGAGGCGGTGAGAGAAAAGGAAATTTCTGGACACTTGGTTAGTGAACATTTTTCATAGCTTTAATCTATTAAAAAAAAAAAAAGGAAATTATAATAAAAAATAAAATAATTATTAAATAAATGACAAATTTTTTTAGTTTATTAACTTTTGCAATCAAACTGCTGGCGAATGCCAAGTTAATTCTGACGCAGATATTTCATGTTTATTATTACTCTGTAAAATATATTTATACAAATATATTATATCTCAAAATTTTTTTGTGACATGTTGGATCACAGGTTTAAACTAGTTGATTTTATATTTTAAAGTAGATTTTTAGACTCATTCGATGTAACGTCTATTTATAGATCCACAGTACGCGGATATGTTTGAAAATGGTAACTACAGAAGGCGTAGACGCATGAAACGGCCATACAGAAATGCACCGTATCATAAGCCATTATTTGGTGATCCTTTCTCTCCAACACACGTCCATTTAGGTCCTAGAAACTTGTTTGGTCATTCTCCGCCATCTTATGCTCCATCTACGTATACCAGATACGACACTAGGTACCATTAATTATCTCAAAATTTGTTCATTATTAATTATTTCGAAGTTTCTCCATTATTTATTACTGATTATCTTAAAGTTTCTTCATCCAAAAATCAAGCATTAGATTTAAAAAAAACAATTTCTACTTGTGATTACAGTGCTTGGAGTCTTCAGCAGTCTCAGCTTTCCTATAGCCACTGCCAATCAGTAAGTAACAAGTTCTTAACAAGTTTCACACTCTTCTTTATTCAAAAAGTAAAAGTAAAAGTTCCCACTTTGTCTGCAGCTCCAGCCACAGTTACAACCAATGCAGTCCATGCAGATACCAACGATGAATGGTTACAGTCAATTAGGCACCTCATTAAGTGAGTCTCTCCTCTGATCAGCAGGTTTCTAGTATTTGATTTGGCAAAATACTCGACGACCAGGCAAAGCGTTTCAAGGCAATTACTTGGATGTTCCAGGTGGGACCACAAGTTCCCCAGGTTCTATGGGCAGTGGTACCTTTGGCAGTAGCTTCGCCAGGAGGCATGACGCCGCCATGACTCAAGAAACCGTGCCTACCAGGTGCTACTGGCCTGAAAGTAATAGAATTTTGCTTTTGCATTTTAATTTATCGATGACATTAAGCAACCATGATCGTTGCAGATTTTTATATACTCATGGAGAATTTGAAGATGCACATTTTCAAAAAGAATGAACGGATCCAAGTGTCGTTCTTTTTGTTCCAGTGGTAAATGTGAAGGAAGAACCGGGAACCGTGGCAGTATCTAGCACCAGCGTTGGTGGCATGGGTGTTCCTTCAGGAATGATGGGATCTACAACTCCAACAGCAGTTTCTACGACTGGATTCGCGCCAATGGAGTTTCAGTCTCGGTCCAAGTGCTTCATGTGAATCGATTCACCGTTTGCATCGTTGTCACAAGCTGAGAGTCTTATCCCGAAGGATCATCGTGCGTCGCTTCAACGACGTTAATTTGGCTGATCTTCATCCGAACGAAGCGGTAAGCGAGAAGAATAGGAATGTTAAAGTGTGTTTCCCTTTACTGGAAATCCTTGTGGGATCCATGGTGACGAATCAGAGTTGATCAGAGTAGTAGTGATAATTCTGAGCCAAACAAGTGTGAAAAGTCTTCAATTCGAAACGATGAACGTTGCACCCCTGTCCTCGTATGTTTTCGACTGCTGCACAGTATTCGATATTTAAGCGAGACGCCTCGTGAATTGGTTTCTACAAAAGATGGAAACGAATTTGCGAGGGTCACTGATCCAGGGTCAATGATTAACGCGTAGTTTAAGGCGCATCCGTGATACAAGAAGGCACTCGAGGATGTTTTGTTTTATATACATATATGAGTAACTAGGTCCATGTAGAAGCAAAAGATAAATGTATATCTAAACATGTAGGTCGCATAACGTAATAGAAAATGAAGGAAAAAAAAGCAGTTTCTCTGAAAGACTATTCGTCGGTGTACATATCTAAGCGTACTAAGTAGTTTGATTAACTAACTGTGAATTATTCCAAGAATTCTGGACACACGTGGCAGCTCCTGTAATTAGATGGAAAGTCAAAAATAAATCACTATTATTTATCGTCTAGTACCGTCAATAATCGTCATTTACCTTTCACTATAATACTCTATTCTAAATCAAATATAACTCCAATTTTATAACTTTTAATCCTGTAATATTCAATAATACAATTATATGAAAAAAAATTTTCTTATTATAAAATTACTTATTATAATTATAAAAAGTATCTTCTATATATGATCTAATCCTACAAGTCACGGATCGTGTTTTTCAATTCATAGTACATAATTCTATGAAAAGAAAAGGCTAAGAAATGTATCATCCATCTCTATATGATGGTTCTATTTCTATTCGATATTCAGAACAAAAGTATATTCGCTTCCTGTGATTCAGTACGAGCCTGTGGGCTCAGAATATCCCTAGCAAAATGAGAAAAAGAGCGGAAGAGGGAAAAGTAGCCAATGGCTAGCAATGGTTGATGTTTGCGTGGACGAGGATGTTTTACAAACACGGTACGCGCAGCCGAGCTTTAATATTCTTCGTAAAAGAGAGGCTGGTCGTGCACGGCCAGTCAACACCGTACGTGCATCAGCGCAGGAATAGCACGTGCACTTTATTTTTCGTCTGGAAATCGATCGTACGACCACGTCCCTTCTCTACGCCTGCCTCAAAATAAATCTTGCTTGCCCGATGGAAAAGAGCACGCTTGGCATGAATGGAATGGACAGAGATCTTCCCACTTGCATCATTATACTTTCATATCGTTCATCAGGGTTCTCATAAGTACCATTTTCCTTTTAGAATTTTGTATTATCCATTTCTGTCTTTTGTATTCTGTTCTGCAATTTCTTCACCATTTAAGATAAATCATTCCAAATGATAAACTGATTGGCTACTGCAACAATATTTCTAACATTAGTGACATAATTTCTTTCATATAATCTTTATATACTTAAGAGTGAAGTAAATAAAATATTTAAGATCATTATAATAATTCAATTGAAATTTCCAATCCTGTGCAAGTCCTAAATTTTCCCTCGAAACAACTTTCGTCTGACAAAAACTTTTTATTCCTATATTTTGAAGAAGAATATATATTTCATTACTATGGCAATATGAGGGAGGGTCAGTATTATTCTTACTCTGCCATTGGTTGGAAGGGACAGGTAGAAAGAACCTTTACGAGGACAGATAGATACCTACATTCTCATTGGTTGATGGAGACAGGTGAGGCTAAAAGGTAGGGAGGCTTTATCTACCATAGGAGATAGAGTCTAACCTTTTCATTTCTATACATTTTATAGGTGCTATAAAGAAAATGGTGTCTCCAAGGAAATGAAATAATAAGGAATCTATCTGTCCAGGATGAAAAAAGAACGTATACAATAGCTAAATCTTACGAGAAACTCGAAACATAAACGTCGGCTACTGTTCGGTTCACGCAAGCAGTCTCTATAAGCAAACACTGGCGTTAATCATCGGCGGTTCCCCTCCTTGCGGAACGAATCCACTGGGAGTCAGGTAAATCATTCGTGGTGTTTCTCTGCAGGCTCAGATTACAGAGATGTGGCCGCGGCGCTTTACAATGGGATACAACCACCATGTAGTTTCCCATTGTTTCTCATTGAGTCAGCCCAGTGAACTGACAATTAAAAAGGCAAATAATTTTTTTCATTTTACAATTGACAGGATAAGAATTGCATCTGACACCTACTAACTAAATAGACTTAAACGACTTAAGTTGAATTTCATTTAAGGAATTTGTAGTTTTTTTTTTTTAAACATAGAATCAGGAGTAGAATTCAAAAATACTAGTTTTAAGGCGCAGAGCATATTGCATGTTCAAGGATTTGATTTTGCGAAACTAGTCTTTTGTAGAAACTATGTTATAAAAAAGAAAAGTAAATTTTTAAATGTGCAATGGTACGAGGTTTGGCTACAACTTGGACTTAGCTTAGAAAATTAGTAAAACCAAAGGGAGGGATGAACCTAAGAGTTCATCCGGTTGCATTTTTTAAGGCGTTCAAATGAGGGGGTAATGTTGCAGGCAGTCGAAGACAGCCGGGAATTCCTTCGTTTTCGTCGCGTCGGGATTCACACGCACGTGCATCGCCCGTGGCGTGTAAATAGAGGGCGGAGGTGACATATAGCGACAGCCAGAGCAAGCGTGTCGACCATTTAGGCGACTATTAGCAGCTTCACGGCCTCTTCCACGCACGTGCGACGAAGGAAACGCTTGTTGCCTCTTGGTGCCAGTTAAATTATTCGAGTCTTCATATCATTAACTAACATCACTATCATTTTATATTAACAGTGAGTGTAATCCTCCAATAATAATTGATAATCGGTGACGAAGGGTAGATCAGGAAGAGTGGAAAAGCTAGAGGAAAAAGGAAAGTCAGAGCGAATATATCATCATACTGAGATTCATTTAATTTGTAAATGCATTTTTTTAATTTATGAACTCACCAGAATCAGGTTCAGGGTTTAGTGTTTGAAATCAGGAACAATGGAACATTGCAGGAATAGATGAAGATGAACATACCAATTATTATTTAATTTCAAACTTATTCTTAATTCGTTCACTCGTTGAAATCAGATTTATTCATTGTGTTCCTATGGAAAGGGACATCAGGAGAAATCCCAAAGGGTATTGGATAATATGAATCTTCGTCCTTCTTTCAAGTCTTTATTCTGTGAACGAATGAGCAAAGAAAGGGAACGTCGAATCTTATTGGAATGATTTTTGCCGGTCTATATTTGGCTCCGCCTTAAGAATTACCCGGCTCGTTTACGCAGTCGTTAGAGTGGATTTAACTGGACGAAACGGGGGAGAGTGTGTCAGATATCGTTCGACCGAGTTCTGGTAATCCTCGCACGGAACGGATGGCAATAAATTTTCAGCGACACTGGTTGTAAAGGAGGGCTGATGTTACGCGGTCCATTTACTCCACGGGATGTCACCTAAAATCAGTTAATTATATTCTAGACACTCGACCACTTGACCTAACTGAACCGATATCATTTGTAGCTCAAAAAGAATAAATAAATGTAAAAGCCACCGGTGAAAAACACAACTATTTATCAAGTCAAATTTTACAGAGAAAGATATGCGCTTTCATTATTCTGTGGAAGATTTGAACACAATTGCAGACAAGTTAAATTAATATTACAAAATATTCGATATTTCTTTACAATGCCGAGAATTTATTATATCTATTTTCAAAAAGTTATGTCTCTGAATCTCTCAGATTGTTCTTTTCTTCAACCTTTATATTAAAAAAGCGGTTCTTTGATATAAAAATCAAACAATCAATAAAAATAATTTCTCACCCTAATCTGTGCCTGATTACTTTTGTAATATTTTAGTAATTTATTTATTTCCAACGGTCGGAATGGTCGATTAGTCAAAAGGACAGAGATCGGAACGTAAAAATCGCCAAGTATTCCAACGGCGAGCAGCCAGGGAGAAAGAAGGAGCGCTTGGGTTCTTTACAAAGAGCATAACGACGCGAACAATTTGTAGCAGAGTGTCAACGAAGCCGATTCTATTTTGGAGACGACGCGCGCGGCGGCTATCTTTCCGCTCGACTCCCTCGTCCTTCTCTGTCTCCACCTACTACTCCATCGTTTTTCAGCCTATTGCACCGACTTCCCCGGTCTCGCGTAAATTTACACGCGATTAATCCGTCCTCGTGGCCTTCTCTTGTTATCCAGACACGCAGTTCCTCAATGTGCCTTCCATAAAAAAAAAAAAAAAAAAAAAAAAATAAAAATACAAAAAGGCACGCAGACAAATATAAGCTTTCTAAACGAAAAGAGGTTACGGTAGTTCCAATTTTTCGTTCCATTCGTCCTACTTCCGTTTTTTCAAAATTGTTCCAATTTCTTTTCAACGATTTCTTCAAATCATTAAACGCTCCATAGATTTTGCTATTTCTTTCTACATTCCCCTCGCCTCTATGCCTCCTTCAGAATCTGCGAACAGTCTTGCAAACGAATCAGTAAGGTTCAAGCGCCACACAATGAAAATAGAGATGGAATACGATAGTTAGCGCCTTCCTCGAGCACATGTTATGCTGGGGGGACGTCGGAGCACGTACCAGTCGCGCAAAATGTATCTCTCTCTCTTTCTACAGTGACCGACGACACGTACGGTTTTTCAAAGAGAGTTAACGTGTTCCTCGCTTATGAAGTTTGTATTATTTTTAGGATCCTTTAATGGAAAGTTTGCTCAGCATGGGAAATGTGGATGATGATGATGACATCATTGAAAGGAGATATGGAGAGATCGACAAATCATTCTTCGTTTTTCATTGGGATGTTATTTGCTGTGAGAATGAATTGAAGGTTTATTGTGAGTTAATTTCTAGGTCAGAAATATTTTCGTTGTATATTTTTCTTTTTTTCTTATTTCCTTAGAATGATAAGAAGCCATAAGAGTGTTTATCTGCAAAATGAAATAAAGATTAAATTTTATTGAATCACTTTGTTGTATGAACATGTAACCTTGTAAATTTTCTAAGTTCCCAAGGGTCAATAAAAAAGAAAAAAGGTACCTCAGGATCGGAAACGATGGCTACGGAAAGAAACAGGTGGAAACGTTATGTGAACGTTTTGTTATATTACAATATATATAATTCTCGGTACATGGATAAAGTCTGCGTGCACAGGCTGAATATTGTGCATGATAAAAACACTCGCGCACAAGAATATTCTTCGACGGTTTCTTTTCTTTTTTTTTTTAATACTTGATTCTAAACGACTCTGGTCGACTCGTGGGGAATGATTGACGGGAGAATGGAAATTGTACGTGTGAAATACACGTATTGTTTATCTTCCAATCGACGGGCTAATCTTCTTCAAGGAGGTCATCATCAAGACTCACACCCTGAAACAGAAAATATATTTTTCATCCACTGCCATTCATTTTTTATCGATAGAGCATCCAAATGGTAAAAAAGAAAAGAATCTAGAAAAAGTCTACAATTTAGAAACTATTGCTTTGTAATTCTTTTTTTTTTTTTACCATTAGTCTCTATTAGCTCAACAGACAATAGATACTGTATGATAGGAATATATGATAATTTCTGTGAAAGAAATATTTACTGTGTAAAAGCGTGAAAAAGCAGTATAATTGAAGGAAAGGGTACACAAAGAGGGATTCTGTACACCGTACACTAATGTTATGGCAATAAGGCTGTAAAGAGAATGAACCGTGACTGGCGCAAAGTCAATAAACTTTGAGCCCCGTAGCTCCTTCATCGTTCTCTGATGATCGAAGAATCACTGTTTAGGAAAAATTACACGAAAAAAAAAAAAAAATATAAACGTCTTAAAATATAGCTATCGGATTTTTATCTTGAAACGAAAGGCATGAAAACCTCCACTTTCACGTTACCTGCTACGGTTTCTTTCTTCTTTTTATTTTTGCATGCATGTTTTGCTTTTCTTTGCTTTATTTAACATGGTGTTCGTTCTACTCGATAGGTGGAACGTGTTCACATACATTGGTCAAGATCGATATATTGCCACCCACACAGATATCGTTTCACAGTCAGACGCGCGTGTGCGTGCCACGCTTGGTTTCAGACTGTTTTAGTAATGTAATACCCTTCTAGAATTACGCGTCCGTATTTAAGGGTATTAAGACATCGTCTAGTTACTCTCCTTTTGTTCCTCTCATCCCTTGTTAGGCTGCTGTGTTTGACCTCGATTCACCTACCTACCGTTTTTTTTTTTTTTTCATGATCTTCATAATTGAAATAACTCCCACTTCGCAACGCAACTAAATCGCATGTAAAATAAGTAAAGAAGAAGTAAATGTACTTCTGTGCACGTACACTTACTTTGTCTAGGTAGAAGCACTTATATACGGACAGCATGCACAAGATAAAAGATGTTGCATGAAAAAAGGAAAACGAATAGAAGAAACACGTATTGGTAGTAACACAATGGACTTACAGTAGTATCTATAGTGTCATCGATTTCAAGATCGAGATCGAGATCGTCTTCGTCCACGGTTAATGGCCTGGAGCTGCTGGTTGTCTTCATGATCTTCTCCGGTAGATCAGACTTCCCCGTGGATGATGAAATGATCTTACCAATATCAAGATCCTGTAGCCTCTCTGTTAGAATCTCGGTCGATTCTCCTATCTCGTCGGTAGTGCTTGTTACTACTTTATAGCTGAAACGATTTGCCTGTTCAGCTGCTAGCATTTCTTCGAATGGTTTTCGTTCAACGTTAGGCTGCAACAGTCATATAAAATTGAATTAAAATTCATAAATTGCATGCATCCTGCGTTTTACTCGTGTCCCAAATTATTGACTTCCTTACTTGCACGTTCGGGAAGGCAGACGCTGGAATTTTCTTTTTACTCTCTTCTCTGAGGAACTGTTCCACCTTCAACGCTTCTCTGTATCCAGGGAACAGATTTTCGTACTGTTCAGGATCGGCCAAACTCTGTCCGGCTTTCTTGCTTACAGTCGACAGTTTTTCTTTCCACAGTTTCACGATGGACGAAATTTTACTAGGAGCATACGTTCTCGCAAAGAACGCAGCCTCTGGAGTTCTGTCCGTCTTTATGAGAATGTCTAGACATTTGTCCAAGTCTCCAAGGATGAAGTACGACAAGAAAGAGATATTGTTCTTGCCTGTATCGTCGGCGTCTGTGCCTAATTTCTGAATCATGCTCGCGTTTCCTGTACTCGTGGCAAGTAATAGGAGTCCGCCGAAGTCTTGCGCCTGATGTAAACATTCTTGCGCCAAGCACAATTTCCCTTTCTGCGTGGCGAGAGATGCCAATTGTCGCCACTTTTGCTGGCTGTTCGCTTCTTTGGCAAGCGAGTGCGCCGTCACGAGATCTCCCAACGCTAAAGCCAACTCGAACCTGTGCTCTGGATCCGTAGATACAGCCAATGCTTGTTCTTTGAAACCCTACAGTATTTTCAATGTTAATTTTTCAGATAAATCGTGTATTAAATAAAAGGTCATTTTAATAATACGAACCTGCTTCTCTAAGAAATGTGCCACACGCGTACGATGTTCCTTGGGGACCGTGGGAAGAACTCTGTCTGCTGTTTCGAAATCTTTTCGCATAACAGCAGTCTGGTATTCTAATACAGATAACAATAACGAATACGAGACAACTGACAGTTCCTTGTCGCACAGATACAATCTGTTATCTCTCGGGACATATCCAAGAAGGTACATTGGTCTATCTAAGTGTGACACGGTCACAACTTCTCCACCGACGAAATAGTTTATTCGATTTACGCTGTTTGTGTAAATGAAGCAGTCGCCGACCCAGAGTCCAGTTTTCACAACTTCACTCATTTCTGCTACCATCTAAATTATGTCAAAAGTGTTTAAAATGTTATTACTTTCATCGTGTACGTGTCAATGATGAAATGACAAACCTCAAAAGCATCTTCAATATCTTCTGAATTTTCTGAGGCGTTTGCAACGGCGTCGGCATGGTATTTCAAAATAAAATATTGATCGGACGTGGCTAACGCTACCAAAGAGCCATTTTCGGCCCAATAGACATGTGTAGGTTGAATGTCTATACGACGAATTAATTTTAGCATTTCCCAGTCGAAGAATGATAGACCAGATCCGGAAGAAACGCCCAGTAAAAATCCACCAAAAATACCTGTAGGATAAAAATAGTTAAAAAGTAACCAGTACAACAACCTGAAGAATAATAATTATTATATTTACCATCAGCACCAAAATCAGGCTTAAAGCTTTTCTTTTCTTTAAAGTTCTTGAAGACTTTAACAGTGGTGTTGCTTTCTCTGACAGCATACTGATTTGTATCAGCTGCCCAGATGAATTCCGATGCTTGACCAAACGCTTTATTTCTTAGAGCCATAGACGTGTAAATGATATACTCTCCATCTCCACAAACCACCAGAAATCTTCCATTTGGATTGTGCTGGATAGTTTGTGGATAGATTTCACAGGCACCCATGTCTTTCACAGCTAATGGAAGCCTCTCTCCATCTTGTGTTTCCTCTCCTAGAGCTTTCAAGTTTACTTGCTGAATTTCACTGTGCTTTGCCCAGACGATCTTGCCACCTAGTGAATCCATCGAGACTGCGGGTTCCTCTCTGCCAACTTTTACTATAACACTACTCTCATCGTAACCAATTGCAACATTGTTCGAGCCCCGTAAGCAAGCAATCGTCCATACTCTCTCAAAACCATAATTAAGGGAAGATTCCAGTCTATATGTTCCAGCATGCCATATTCGAACTGTTCCATCTTCAGAACCAGTAAGAATGATGGGCAATTCCGGATGGAAGCAAACAGCACAAATATTTTGCGTGTGCCCCTCCAATGTTTGTACACAAGTTTTATTTTGATAATCCCAAATTTTGACATAATTATCATCTGCTCCTGATATTAAGTATGGTTTGTCTCCACCATGATAATAGTCAACACAATTCACGCCTTTCTCATGACCGTCTAAAGTGAAATTGGCAGTGGAAGATCCAAGCTGCCAAACTTTTACTGTTCTGTCTAATGAAGCGCTTGCAAACGTATTGTTGTCCTTTGGATTAAATACTACTTGCATTACATAATGTGTATGTCCTTCAAATACCTGTTGTCCTATCCAACCTTTCTCCCAATTCCACAACTTAATTAACATGTCATCTAATAAGAAAAAATAAAAATTAATCTATAAGTAAAAGCACACGTAAGTCACATGTAACGTTAAAATGTGACAGATAATGATCAATACACATACCACTGCTTGTTAATATGAATGGTTGCGTTGGATGCACAGCAATGCATCTGACATAGTCACTATGTGCCTCAAAAGAATGCACACGTTCCAAAGTATTATAATTAAATACTCTGACTTGCATGTCATCTGAACCAGTAACAACCCAATTTTTGCGTGGCACAAACTTAGCTGTACGAACTGGCAGGTCGCATACTTCAAACGTCTTGACCAACATCTGAGTTTCATGATTCCAAATATTAACATTTCCCTGATACAATGAACAGAGCATCCATGGTTCTGTAGGATGAAGATCCACACTCTTCACTCTGTCTGACCTAGCAGTCAGTTTTCGCTTGATATCTAATCTCAATGGCTAGAAAAAAGGAAAATATATATTTATGATTTAAAATGAAATATGCATGACATCACGTTATGTGCAATAAAAAGTAACAAAACAAACTTGGTTAAAATACTATAGTGAGCATGTTTGAAGATGTATATTTTATACTTTGCTGACTGTAACTTCACTGATACAAGTTTCAATAACCTCTTTTTATTGATTATAATAAAATAATATTATTTTTGATCAGTATTATGGTTAATTGACAATAGCAATATCTGATAGTGATAGACAATGTCACATCTATGTCCATATACTATTATTATTATTGGTTAATATTACTATCGATTAAAGATATCAGAAAAATTCTGTGAAAACTAATGCAATGAAACCCACATTAATCATATGAGCATAACATATCTTATCAGTATCACTAAACCATTTATATAAAAGGCGTCGTACAAATAATTGTATGTCATATTTACTTCATTTTTCAATGTACATCGTTCATTATTGACAACACATGCCCTTATAAGTTAGCCAGCTGTCAAAAGTAAAAGAAGAAAGTAAACGAAAAAAACGAAACAATTTATTATCAAATACTGTATAAATTAAGTAAGTATTTGTATCAGAAATAAATTATAGTAATCATTCATTGGAGTACAAAATAATTAGCGGTGTGATTGTTCGTCATTATCGCTATAGTTAAATAGTAAAAACAGGTATACAGAAGCAAATGACAAATTATTTATGAAATTACGTTACCAAAATACATACCATTTTTCACTGTACAATGTATATTTACAATATTGAATAATTCCGAATAATAATGACGTAGAAACGGAATTTAAATCTTTTCCCATGAAGTAACTACGTGGCCCAACCTTTCCTCCACTACACAACAACTTACACTACCTAAAAATGGCGTTGATCTGAAGACTTTGTCACACGTTTGCAATAATCGGTTAGATATATTTATCATTGAATGAATCGTTCAGATTAATTGCACTATCGAATCTTGCAATAAAACATTGATGATTTTTTTTTTATGCATTAGGTATAATGTAAAATTTCAATATTTAGTTATGAATTTGGTGAAACATCATGTGATGTGTCACACATCCTTAACCTGCATCTTCATGTGGCGCTGTCGCTGAAATGGCTTCAAAGTAAAAAATATTGCTTTCTTGATATTATCATTGACTAACTACAAATATTATATATGTTTGAAGATAATATTAATTAATAATTATAATAATATTATCTATGTTTGAAGAGTCAGATTTTAATCTTAAAAATATAAGTGCGGAATCACAGACGATGTAGATAGATATAGATACATCTTATGGGATTTCGTGTTACACGTCACATGATTTCGTGTTCTGACATACCGACAGGGAAAAAATATCATTGATTTTTTCGTGTACTAATGATAACATAAAACTCTACACATCTGTAGATACGATGATCGATAAAGTCACCGTACTACAAAGGAAATTTTATACTTTTTTTAACGTTTATATAATACAGAATATAATGGATGAATGACGACTGTTTATTAATTTCTTAACAA